GGCTGACGCTTTTGCCCAAAGTGACTTATTTTGCACCAGTTTGTACAACGGGACATTGCTCCTCGGCCAAGAGCCCAGCAGCAGTGCCCCAGTTTGACTGTGGGTCTCCCTGTGCAGCTCAGGGTCCTGGCTCCTGCACACTGCTGTGCTCCATTGTGAGGTATTGTCACAACATCCTGACCTGACTGTTGCTGGAGCTGTCCCAGTACAAGCAGTGGAAGCAGGAGAAGAGCAGGACCAGCACAAGGACTGGGAGCGGTAAAAACAGAACTGTGATGTCATGCATTTTCTTCAGTGCATTGGTCTGGAGAACTGCAACATTAGCACTGACTCCAGAGGTCACACAAGCAAAGAGCGCTTGAAATCAAGGCCAACAAAAGTTTTAAAATCCACCACCACCACCCCCCCCCTTGCTAAACCTTTTCCCAAAAATACAGGATCTGTACATTTTGAGGTCTTGCTCGGACATGAACTTCATTGTTGTTGACAATGACATCAAACCCTGGTTGACATCAAATTCCCTGGAGCTGAACCAAAAAATTTTTCTGGTTGGCAGCCAATCTCAGCTGGATAAACTTAAGGGTTTCACGGTAATGGCTTCACCATTCACATCTCAGCCCTAGTCAGGAACCTGTGAGCCACATGCGAAAATTATAATTAAGACGTCTCCCTTTCACTTTTGAAATATTGCCTGCATTAGGCAATCTTTAGCATTGTCCGATGCCGAGTGCTCGATTCATGCATTTATAACATCAAGGCTTGATTTCTGAAACTGTATGGGCTCCCTAACTCTCTTGTCACACCAGACCCTGGCAGCACACCCACACTGGTTGCCTATACACTCTCCTAGTCCATAAACGATCTTGTTGCTGACTTTCAAGGCTCTAAACAATCTGGCTCCATCACACATCCCTGAGCTTCGCCATTTTCACATTCCCTCCCCTGTTCAGGATCGGTCCAGTTGAGGCCAGCCCTCAGCTCTCTGTACGCAGGAGTAAATCACAGACTTGTGGTGAGCATGCCTTCTCTGTCGCAGCTCGAGTGTTGTGGAATGACCCTCCTCAGACTTCTCTCTAACTCTATTCAAATGTAAACTTAAAACTTATCTTTTTACCAAGGTTTATGTCTGATTGGCTACAATCAATTTGTAAAAACCTGTATGCTTTCTTTTTCATTTACTCTTATTGTACTTTTTCTTTATTCATGATGTACAGAGTCCTTGGGTCTGGAAAGGTGCTTTATAAATAAAAGTTATTATGATGAAGTTGTTATTGTTGCTGTGGGCTGTATGGACAGGAAGAGGGAGACAGGACGTCCCTCCCCCTCACAGCACTGGGGCAAGAGCTCCGCGGTGACGGTATGTGATCTTTCGTACTTCAGGAGCCGCAGGGAAGGGGGGGGGGAGACCAGCAGGACACGGGCAGAAGGCCAGTCCACACCTGCCTGGACCTGCCTGGCAGGAAAGTGCCAGAGCTGGAACAGCCTGCTGCTGCACACGTACACACACACACATGCACACACGTGCTCACACACATCAGTGTACACACACATGCACACACCTGTGCCCATACATACACTTGTGCACACACACATGCACATACATACACACATATACACATGCACACACATACACTTGTGTACACACACGCACATACACGCATGCACGCACACTTACAAACGTGCTCTCACACATACCTACCCTGGCTAGCAAAGCCAGTGGAAACAGATGCAGACGCATTTGGAGAAATGGTGGGCAGCCTTAAAAAGCAACTGCACCTGTACTTCTGAACAGCAGCTCTTCCCTCAAATATCATCCAGCTCCTGGAGCCTGGGTGGCTGCAAAACCGCCCTCTGATTTGAGTTGAATTTTTGCTTTCCAAATGTTGGTGAACTGAAACCATCTTTTCTGCTTCTTTATTGGCAGTGGTGAGAGAGATGTTGTGATAAACATATTAAGTTGAAGAGGTTCAAGTAGGTGGCTGTGTCAGCAGGCGTAGGCTGCAAAGGAACAAGTAAAGGTTTATTCCACGCTGAAAAGAGAAGAAAAAAGACACAACGTTTCAGCCAAAACGTTGTGTTTCTTTTCTTCTCTTTTCAGCATGGAATAAACTTTAAGTTGAAGAGTTCATATTTTATATTTTTTGCAAAAAGGGGATTTTCTCTACAGTATTCACGGTGAAACTTCTTTTATCAGAGGGTGTGTCCCGTGTGTGAGGGGGGGGGCTCGTTTTTTGTTCTTTGTTTGTTTGGTCGTACTGCGCTCGGGCTGCTATTGTTCTGTCGGGTTTGGGAAGCCCAGTGCAGTAGCCATTCCAGCAGCAGTTCAAAAGGGCAGGGTAATGCTCAGTCCAGGAGTTCTGAGCGCCAGTCAGGTCTCTGTCAGACCCCCCGTAGTTCCTCGAATTCTTCCACAAACAATCACATGGTCGACACGGACTACCAGCTCTGAGTGACGCAGGGAGGTCTTTTGTGAAGAAGAGGTCTTTTTGGATAAAAACGCAAATCCTGCTTCTCATTCTCCCTTATATTTCTAATGGATTGTGGTCAGCGTGTCTCACCTTTTTAGTTATCGAGGTGCACATACTTTCTCAAGAGCAAAGCCACGTGAAGACCAGTTAATGTGAATCAACTCATTTTCTTTGTTTTTCTAATTGGCCAGTCGTTAATTATTTTTAGGATTTCTTTAAGAAAACAATCGACAAACTTTACATGTCCTTGTTCTATCTTCGGGAAGTGAATTTGGGAGCTTTTCTGAATTCACAAACAAAAGGATGACAGAAAAGCTTATTTATTTCCTACTGTTTTTTTTACTTTTAAGCACTGAAATAAAATCCTATTCACTGAAAATACCTATGCACACAGATAAAATCCTAACCTCACCTAAAACAAGCAGCAGAAATGTACAGATTTCTCAGAGTACTTCTTC